GGGATAGCATTAGGAGAAATACCTAATGTAGATGACAGGTTGATGGATGCAGCAAACCACCATGGCACATGTATACTTATGTAACAAACCTGCACGTTCTACACATGTATCCCAGAACTTAAAATATAATAAAAAAAAAAATTTAAAAAAGACTCTGCCTCAAAAATAAATACATAAATAAATAAATAAAAAAGAGCCATATAACTCATTGCAGCCTTAAGCAGTCCTCCCACCTCAGCCTCCTGAGTAACTGGAACTAAGGTGCCTGTTCACTCTTACTGCTATCTAATAATCCATTGTATGAATATACATCACAATGCATTTCTCTTTTCTCCTGTTAATGAACATTTGGATCATTTGAAGTTTGGAGCTGTTATGAATATTGCTGAGATGAACATTTTACTACCATTTTTTGGTGAACATATGTATGCATTTCTGTTTTATGGGTGTATAGCTAGGAGTAGAGTGTATACCACTGAGTGTATACCTAGGATTGGAATTTTTGGATCATAAGGTAGGTATATGTCCTAATAAATATTGCCAAACATTAAAAAAAGAAAAACAAAAAGAGCCTTAATAAACGAAAGCAATAAGACTGTCTTGTATGGTAGATAAACTGAGAAATTAGAATACATACTTGGAATTTGGATATTAAAGAAGAAAATAATTTAGCTGGCTCTGATAATGGTGGTTATGTTAAAAGGGCATATTCTGATGAATTGGAGATGCACACTGAAATATTTATGGGTATGAAGACACAATATCTGGGATTTGCTTTCAAGGAGTTCAGGAAAACCAAAAAAGAGGATGTGATAGATGAAACAAATTGGGCAGAATGTTGGTAATTATTGAAACTGGAGGATGGCTATAGAGTGGCTCTTTTTTTTTTTAATTTATTTTTTATTATTACTATACTTTAAGTTCTAGGGTACCTGTGCATAACGTGCAGGTTTGTTACATATGTATACTTGTGCCATGTTGCTGTGCTGTACCCCTGTCTCTTATACACATCTAGATGTGTATAAGAGACAGAGGCTACAGTAACCAAAACAGCATGGTACTGGTACCAAAACAGAGATATAGACCAATGGAACAGAACCGCGTCCTCAGAAATAATACCACACATCTAGAGTGGCTCTTTATAGTACTTGTCACTTTTTCATTAAAGTTTTCTACTTTAAAAGTTAAAATTTTAAAAAATGATTATAAATATATTTTTAAAGTGTGATTCTAAAATCTGACTGATCATCCGAATCACCTGAGGAGCTTAAAAAAATAGATTCTGGGAGCTGCACAGTCCTGCGGAATCAGTCGTCTGCGAGTCCGTTTGTACTGGATGGGAGGTGGGGATGAAGGCTTGCGCATGGAGGAATGTGTTATTTTTTAATTTCCTAGTTCTGGCAGCCAGCACAGCCATGCTGCCTCCTCTGCTTTGTCTGACCCAGGAGATCTTACATCAGTCTTCCTTCCTCCCTGCCTTCTTCTCTCTTTCCTGTCTTCCCTCCTCCTCCCTGTTGTTTTCTCTTTCTTCACTTTATGAAAGTTTAGGGCAGGAAACTTAGAAGGGCCACAGGGTCCTAGCATCCCTTTCCTCTTCCCATCAGAGGAAAAGTGTCCTCATTGTCAAGCGGGGCCTTGTGCTTGAGGACCGGGCCTGGACCTCATACAGTTATTATTTATGAAAAGCTGCCTTGCTACCATGGATGAGCGATGTGTGCACTGCTCAGGTGCGCCTCAAAATAAAGCTGCTTAGGAAGCACAGTCTTAATATCCCAGCCTTTCTTTTTCTTTCAGCATTCATCAATTGAAAACATCACAATCTGTTCTTAAATAATTTATTTTTTAATGTTGACTCTTGTGAAAAGTTACATTTATTTAGAAATACTTGAAGAAATCCAACAAAGAATAGGTGGCTTTCTATTAGGGACAATTAAATGTGCAAATTTCAAATACTTTTTATAATAAGTATAAATAATTCAATTTTTTCACATTAAGAATGGAGATAATGATCAACACAAAATATTAAGGTATCAACTTTAAGAGAATAAGATGAAAACACTGAAGTTTATTTGATATCTTTGGAAAGAAATTATAAAGATTTGTCTGGGAAAAAACTTAGGCAGCTCTAAGGGGAAAGCATGTCTAATAATATGAGTAAAGGCTGTGTAGAGTTATAGATCACATATATTTTCAGGTCATAAGCACAGACCCCCAAAATGACAGCCTTTATCTCAGGGGAAAATACATTTCCCCTCCTTTTTTTTTTTTTTTTTCTTCTAGAGCAAATATGACAGCAACCACAAAGCACACAGAGAAACTGTAAGCTAGCAACAGAAAGAGATTTCCTCATACTCATGGTTACTGGCTTTTGCTGTCCCAATACCAGGGTACCATGGGATGCAAGGGGCTTCCCAGCCCCCCAGGACACAGTGTTAACACAGAAAATAAAACCATCACAAAAGGCCATATCTCCCTGTGACCATTCCCAATCTCATCCCTGCTCCTTCCCTATCTCATCTCCAAGGAGGTAGGACACTCAGAGGCATTAACAGAATACAGAGGATGGTTTTTTACTACATAGCTGGAGTTTCATAAGGAGAAGCACGAAACTTTGATGAATATATATACCTTGGATGCAATTCCTTCTTTCCCGGGGAGGCAAGCAAAGTGTACCAAAGAGGCCAATTTACCCGCTGTGGTCAGGAACTTGCCCACAACCTGACTCAAAGCAAATATGTTCTCTCAAGAGGACACTGAAGCGTTTTCCCCAGAGCTGAAGAAATATCTTCACTTAAATAATCTCGAAGTTTGTAATAAAATAAATAAAGTGAATTACACAAACAGGACTAGAGCTCCCTTTAAAAAGGCAGCTGGTTGAGTTTATGCAAGCAGTGTATATACAAGCTCATGCCCCAACAACAACCAGAAAACAGGTTATTATTATTTAGCCTTCCTATTATACTTCTAGGGCAGCATTTCAATATAATTTAAAAAAAAAAAATCCCTCATACATAATGTAAGGGTATACTACACATGTACACACTTTTACTCCTCAGTTCAAGCTTACTTCTTTAGAAGTAAAGACAGTAATAACCCAAAGAGTGACACGTCTTCCCACTAAAATATTCTTTTAAAAGGTGCATATTGTAAAGAGCAGCTTGTTTTTCTGTCACCGTGAACATGTTCAGTCTCAGCAGCCTCAGAATCACAGTCCATGGATGGTTCTGCATTTCTGCCGGGTCCTCAGGAAAGCACCCGGGCAGGTAGGGAAAAACCATGAACTACAAACACTCTCTGAATACGTCCATTTTCCCTGAGCTTCCTTGAGCTTCTTGCAGAGGGCCTCGCTGCCATGAGGATCTGGCTTCACATCTCTGAGAGATGCTAGGGGAGGGGAGGTGGAAGGGCTCTGGCTTCTCCAACCCACCTGACTGCGTGTCTTTTCCCTTCTCAGCCAAGATGATGAAGCAGTCCTGATGGGCAGGGTGCAGGCGCCTCGGCCAGTCCCCGCACACCTTCCAAGTCCAAAGAAGTTCCTGGCCTCTTGCTTGGTAGGAGAGGAGGAACCTTGGGCTGAATCTGACATCATCCCTTGCCAGTTACAAGCTTTGCTTTCTAAGGCCACCTGGGAGCACTCCCTGGTTACCAAACCTGAGCATCGTGGGCACCACAAAGAGCTTATCTTTCCTCTCCTGCTCAGACACCCTTGAGCCCGCTGTTGCAGTGGCAGCTGAGGGTTCAGAGGATAGCACCATGATGACTGACAGCTCGAGGCCCCACTTCTTGCAGGAGGTGACCCGCCTGTTTCCGGTTAGCCATACATCTGCTTGAACTGAAAGCACTCGTTGCAGTAGCCGTTGCACTTGGCATTGCCAAAGTGATCACAGGCGGGGGCCCGGCAGCGCTGCTTGGGGGGGTCTTCGGGGGCAGGCTCACCCCGGTGGGCCCCGGCGCCCATCCTCGGGTTGGGATGCTGGCACTCCATGCAGAGCTCCTCGCTGCGGCAGGCCAGGATGTTCTTGCAGGAGGCCCGGGCGCACTTGGGCCTTGAGGTGCTCTGTGTGGTTCGAGGCACATCTCTGCGCTGGCTCGATCTCTGAGTGGAAAGAACAGACAGATCATTAAAAAGTCAGGAAGCTATTGCTCACATTTCTTATGGACAGCACAGTGAAATCTCATTGGATAGTGTGGAGTCTACAAAGAGCTTTACCAGCCTGAGCAAGGGAACAGGAGAGCACCGCAGTCTATGAGCCAGAGCTCTTGAAGGATGTTTCCTTCCAATCTCAAGGAAAGCTGACTTGGCCCCCAGGGAGGCTGAGGAAAACCGTCAAGCCTAAGTTGGCCTGCAAACTTTCCCTGGCTCTCTTCTGTTGGGACCAATAACCACTGTTCTTAGATAGCTTCTCTACCATTATGTGAACAACAGGCGACACGCCTGTATCTGTCAAAGCTGGCTTTTCTGATGTACCATTAAGCGCAGGCCCCTGGGAAGCTCTGTCTGTTCGCTCCTTGTGATAAACGATTATTTAAGAAGAGCTGCTTTTTAGATGTCTGTGCTTCTCTTACAAATCAAAGCAGCCTCTGATCACTGTCTGGCTTTCTGGGGGCTGGAAGAAGTTTTATGCAATGGCTGTGTTTCTTTGTTGTTAAAATAAATTCGAAAGTATTCTTGGAGCATGAAAATCGGTGGCAGCATTTCGGACCTGGGGAGCCACAGTGACATGGACATTCCCCTTCAGGTTCTGAACTCATCCTTTATCATGAGGGGACAGAACCTGGCAGAGACGAAAGCCTGCTTGTCACTGTCGGAAGCCAACGCTCCAGCAAAAAGCACCGGACACACGGGAGGGAGGGAAAACTCCTCGAAATGTCTCACCAGTTGCTCTTCTGTCCTTTTGGCCTCATGAAATCTCTGATTCTGAGCTTCAATGAAACACTTCTGGCAGTATCCTTCAAACATGGTGCTTCCAAGGGTGCCGCACTCCCTCCCCAGGCATGGAATGGTGTTCTGGAACCTGGAGGCTGTGGGACTGGCTTTCCCTGAGGCAGCGACCAAATCTACACGAGAGTGGATGCTAGTTAGTACCACATAGGGGTCACCCCACAGATACAGAGATGCTGACATTAGAGAAATAAATGGGTTCCAAATACCGATTAGGCCAGCCTTAAATATATAGAAATATATATATGTACATATTTAAGTATATACATTCAGCAAAAGAAATAATAACAACACTATTATGGAAACATCTTTGGCTTTACCAATCTCTCATTTCGAACTTGAAGCACTGATTGGTCACAGGAACAGGGCAAAGAGCAGGCATTACCTGGTCACCCTTCTTTCAAATGAGAGATTTCCAAAACCACATCTGTTTCCTTACAGTGTCAAGAGAGACTTCCTTCTCTCCAGTTACTACTCTTCAGATTTTAAGATTGTTCTATTATATCTAAGTTGCAAAAGAAGTCTAGTTTAAGACTGTCTTAGATACGCCAGACCTGAACGGTCTAGTAAAAGCAAATCCCATGAGCTCTGTCTACAGGGCGCTGTGGTTTTTGGAATGTGATATTAGGAGCTGCTACAACCACGCAGTGCCTTTTGCCTCCATGGGCAGCTGGCAGGGCCACCGTGGCTGTCCCATGCACAAGCCAGTAGAAAAGCACGGTAGGTCCTGACCACTCTGCCTGACTGCCCACACGGGATTTTTTTCCTTAAAGATCAGGAGCAAAACCTCTTCTGGACAGTAGCTGCTATGTTAGGAGGTCAACCATTTCACTCACGTTTGTTTTCTCTGTACTCGATGAAACACAGTGTGCAAAAGCCCTTGTTTTCTGGAGTCCCAAAATACATGCAGCCAGCTTTTCTGCACTTGCTGGTCCCCGTCCTGTCCCCCGGAGTCCGTGCAGCTTGAGACAGGCAGCCAGCGGGGGCGTCATTTCCAGCTCTGTGGCAAGAATGCGGGGAGGGGCTCCGGACGAGCTGTGAGGGATCTGACTTGGAACGCTGGTGACAGGAGGGAGGGAGGCTGGTGCTGAGGCTGGAGGAGGCCTCTGCTGTAGTCCTTTTGAAGCAAGTACTGCAGATCCCATTAAATGTCCTGGTGACATCCTGGAGGCAGGCTTGGCACTTCCCGGGATCCAAGTGCCTTGTGTGGTCTGCGGCGTGGCTGGCGTGAAGTTGCCGGGCGTTGTGGCAACGTTCACAAAATCCGTTGTGCTGCACATTCAGTGTGAAGGGGCAGCCGGGGCTCCTGCACTTCATGGCAGTGGTCTCACTGAACAGAAAAGGGCTGGGTGCTGTCGGTGGAGCAGAATGAGGCCCCCCAGTGGGCTCCTCGGGGTTCCACGCCAAGGGCTCATAGGCTTCTCCCCGAGAGGCCCCGAGCGCCATGCCAGGGAGCCCCTCGGGGCCCGGCTTGGAGTTCAGCTTTGGGAGTTTGTTTTGATTCTTTTGCCGCCTCTCTGAGCACTCATGGCATAAAGGCTGGGTGTTCACAGACATGAAGAAGGGGCAGTTGGGCGTTTCACATTTTACATCCATGAGAGAAAGCTGGGGCAGGGAAGATTCCATGGGATTCTGGGCATGCATCTCTCTCCTCCCCTGCTCGCTGTTTTCCTGCCATTTCTTGTACTCATGCTGAACAAGCTCAAAGTAATCATCTACCAGATTGATTTCTTTTGGTAAGTTAGCTTCATCCAACCTGAAGACCAAAAAGAAAAAATATGTATGAGACTACACAAAATCACACACAAGATTTTACATCATTAGCCTACAGAACAAAGTTTTAGAATATGGATTATGGCAAGAATTGCAGAACCATTAACTGAAACGCAGGCCTGTGATGAAGAGCTCACACTTTTCACGTAACATGATCTGACACATTTCCCAACACGTTCTAGAGTCAAGAATGATGTCAGTTAGTTTGCTAAGACTTCCTTATTTTTAAAATCACAGTTTCATTTAATCAATCTTGGTCCATCCAAAAATTATAGATAGTTTTAAAACAAGGGCTAAAAAAAAAAAAAAAATCAGCTGACTCTTTAATTTCTCAGAGATCAAGTTTTGAGTAAAACATCACTCAGGCCATTCATTTGGGACTAGTCTACTTTATAGCACAAACTACTTTGGAACCTCAGGTTGGGTATTTTGCTATTACTAACTTTAAACTTGTGTCTGGTCTCCACCAGCATTAGCAGCCATGAGTAACTAAGATGCAGACACACTCAAAGGCACTTGTCTATTTACTGTTGACTCTGTAATTTGCTAATCTCCACGTTGAGAGACAGATTCTCTTACAGCCTCCTTGTCATCTCTTGTGCATCTCAAGTGCTCAGAAACAGGCATCTCTTTAACATAAAGCCAACGTTTAAAGACCAGATACCTGCACAGTGGGCATTCTGGGGCTTTCCTCCCATTCCATGTGGCAGAATCATAAGCTGCAACAGGAACAATTCTACAGCCCCAGCTATGTCTGATGTGCCTGTTCTTACCAAGAAGCCAAGAGAGAAAGCTTTTTGTTTCCAAGTGTTTTCACTTGCTAGTCGTTTTAATACGTACCAGAGTAATTAAAATACAAAAACAAAAAACAACAACTATCCTTGATGTAAATGCACTTTGAAAACCCATAATTCTGCAGTTCTGGCTTTTGGGATCCAGATATCTAGGAAACTCAATATGGATAAATGACTTATTTCGATTTGAAACCCAAGTTAGTACGGCCTTACAGAATCCTCTCTAACCATGCACAAGGCTCTGAATTTGTTTCCCACTGGCAGAAACTGGCCACAAATCACTCTACTGTTGAGCTTCAGGGTGGCAGCAACTCAGGTGGCTGAGGTTAAAGACAGTTACAGATGACACAGGAGAGAGCTGAACATAAACTGCTTACTTTGCGGCATTGATGAGATGAGTTGTGCCATGGTCCCAGCCTTGGACAGGGATTTCTATCACCATTAAGTACTCTTTTAAGAGCTTCTCCTTCATCTCATTTTCAGGATCTGTCAAAAAGTGAACTTTCAAGTCTTCAAATCTTCCTCGGTCTCTGTTAACAAGTGGAACAGCTCGGATTTCTGAGGGAAAAAAAATAACACATAAGTAAAACCGTATTCTACTAAACAAGGCCATAGGTAAGTAGATCTCATTTTGAAAGTGTGTAAAATATATAATTTACAGAATAGAAAACTATTCTCAGCCACAGTTAAACCCAAAAGGGAAAACAAAATACGCTACAATCTCATATAAAAATGCACTATTTTCAGGAAACTCACAGAATATTAACCAGCCTGGAGGGAGTGGATCTTATTGGTTGAAGTCCCAGGCTTTAGAATCAGACTGACCTGAGTTTGAATCCTGGCTTTTGTCAAGTTGTGTGACATTAGGCAGGTCAGTTGACCTCTCTAAGCTTTAACTGTCTAATCTGTAAAATAAGGCTACCAAGGCCTACATCTCACAAGAATGCTAAGAGGATAAAAATGCCATAAAATAGTATATCCAAAGCACAGTGCTTATTCCACATGAAGCTATTAAAATAACAGCTAATAGGCCAGGCACAGTGGCTCATGCCTGTAACTTTGAGAGGCCAAAGCGGGAGACTGCTTGTCCCCAAGGGGTTGAGGCTGCAATGAGCCATGATTGTGCCACTGTACTCCAGCTTGGACAACAGAGGGATACCCTGTTTCAAAAAGAAATAAAAAAGCTAACCTGACAGGCATTTACTTGCTCCATAACAGGCACTGTGTGCCTTAATTTATCATGTATGAAAGTACTTTCCAAGTCATATTCAAAAAGATATGAGGGTATTATGAGTTACTGCTATTGCATTACTCTTACTAACCAAGCAAGTCACAGAACAATGTATTTAAATAAAAATAATATACTTAAATAAGATTGTTTCAATAAGAAGCAAAAAAACCCTTGATGTTTCAGTGTCTAGTTACAAATCTGAATTAATGCAGTTTTCTCACCAGGCCCACTGTCCTTCAGGGTCACCAAGGGTACAAAATGATGGCTGTCATAGCCGAGAACAATGGGGTATCTGTAGCATTCCTGGGCAGGCCAATGGAGAGGCAAGTAAATTCCACCCACTTTCAAAGGGGCGAAATTGGAACCTGATTCCAAACTTCTTAGCATTTTGTCTGTTCAAAGAAAGAGAAAGAAAAATGAGGCCCTTAGGTGACTGTCATCAAATTCCATTTCACTCTGTTACCTGAACTTTGGCAGTGTGGTTTTCTCGACGAGCCAAGCCATAAAGCTGAAAGCATTTAAGTACAGATATGTGATCTATAGGCATCTCACCTGAAATGACAATGATTGGCCTTCTGAGGATGTTGCAAAGGACAAATATGTGTATTTCTTCCAGTGAGTTGTACTGAAGTCCACTTCGGGCCATGGGTGTGTCTGTGGAAGCCATTTTGATAAGGTTGTCCCATTCATCATTCCAGTTCTAAGGGGAGGGGGGTGAAAGAAAGGAAAAAAAAAGCTTGAATGTACCCTGTGCTCCCTGTACTAAAAAGTCATTCTGACATCACTCTACAATTATTCATTTATATAACTCAGCTTATTTTTCCCCTTTCATGAAACCATCATTCAAATGATCACCCTTTTTTCCCCATTTCCATTTTCTTCCTTTACTTTTTTCCACTACAAGGCAAACTCAAAAGTTGGGGAGGACGGGACAGCACCTGCTTTAAAAAAAAAATCCCTGATGAGGTATCACATTGCAGCCCCTTATCCAAATGTTCCCCAAAATTCCAAACTTGTGACTGAGGATGGTGAGGCACGTGTCTTAATCTTATTGGCTGGCTCAGCAAAGCTAAGGGCAATCAAACCGAAAAACAACAAAACACCAGTGTAAAAGGCCATGATCAAAAGACTTGCTGCTACAGGGAACAGATGCACAGCTGGGAATCTGCTAACCAAAAATAGGGCAAAAGCCTTGGGTGAGTCCCACTGGAGGTTTCTGGTGTTTTCCATTGAGTATGCTTCGCTTAGACAAATTCATATGACCTAGTCCATCAGATGCTACCAGAGGGCAGGGACTCGTCCAGGGGTACCCTATGCCACCATGGAGCTCTGTCAGTAGATAATTAGGGGGAAAAACATACCCGAGTATCATAGCAAAGCCCCGTTTCAACAAATTCCTGAGATTTGAGAGACTCCAGTTGCCAGCGGAATTTAAAGTTGCGTGTGTCTGTTTCCTTCAACGTGCTGAACAGCGCCTTCCTCAGTACCAGGTCTGTGTCCTGAACGCCCCACATGTACTGAGAAGTGGCATGCATGAGGCAATTGCCATCACCTGAGGACAGAAAGGAAAAGAGAAGGAGTCAACTTATCTGCATGGAAGGCCCAGCAAAGGTTTCAGAATAAACCAGCCCTACTGCTATTCTAGTGGACTGAATGGTTTAATTTGGTTTAATTTCCTAGTCAAGGGCAAACTGATATTTCATAAGATGATGACAGCTTTAAGGAAAAAACAGTTCTTTTTATTCTTCTTTTTAATGAATGACACCAACTGCAAAGGAGCCAGGGGACCTTGGTTCTAGCTTAACTCTGCTCCTACCTAGTTCAGGCGACCTGGGGGAAATTCCTTGAGCTCTCTGGGCATTTTTCCTGTTTGTGAAATGAGGGCAGTGAGTGACGGTCTCTAAAGCCCCATTCCTTCCTACCATCCCCTGATCTGCCGGTGAAGGCACTGGCATGGCTGCTCTCTAATTCTAAGGAAGCGCACACAAGGCTGCACGCACAAACCAGGAAGCAGGCATGGCTTGCTAGACAGGGATGGTCTGGCTGTGACTCAATGGCAAATGACTTGACCATTCCACTTTAGCCTTTGGGCCCTGGGAGTTTCCTCTCCTGGTGTGTAAAGTGGCGTTGACAACACTGAATTACCTATGGCCTGCTAGTCCAGCTCTCAAAAATGCCTTATGCAAACCTGCTTGTTAGTAACTGTAAAGTACAAAAGTTAAAAAGCACCTGGGTGTCTAAATTTGAAAATAATTCAGTGTTTAAGGCTGACATTTTGAGAAAAAAACAAAAAACAAAAAACAAGTTTAATTGTATGCCATTAATTTGTGACATTTCCAGTTTAAAACTCACAATTCAATGGGCTGCATTTTTTTTCAACCCCCAAACAATAAATCTTTTGGGAGAATGTTTAAAACAAAAAACGTTAACTCCTTAATCTCCTTTGGCAAGTGCAAAATAATTTTTATAAAGAAAAGTTAAACTGTTTCTTATATTACTCTATAAGTAGGGCAATAAAGTTATTTGAAATTTTATCAAATTGTAATTATAGTCAAACTGTAAAGAAACCAAAAAACCTCAAATATATATCCACAGCCAGTATTCCTTCAATTTATACATTTAGAAAAACTAGCTAAGTATTCAAACAAATGAACAAAAAAGATCACCCAAGCCTTGTGTCTTGGCAGACGTGTAGCAATGATTGCATTCTGTTGAAATTTCCCCTTTGCAAAATCTAGAGCAAAGATAAGGCTTTTTTTCTTCTTGTGCTTACTTTCAGTTCTTTATTGAGATGCACCAGTATAAAATTCCCTAAGTAACATCTGGAATTCCCCAGTGCTAAGTTATTTGACTAGCAATTGAGCAACAGCTATTGTACTTTTTGTTCTGGTGTGTAGACATTTAAACTGCGAAGTGCACCCTGGACTTTCCAAGTGGGTGTGGTCAGGGTGAGCTGGAATAGGGCTACTCATTATACAAGTGAAATCGCTGCAGCCAATAGACGCTGGAATTTTTCACATGAAGTTTCAATTTTATGCCACCTACTCCCTTCCTCATTCACCACAGTCTCATATCCTCAAATGCAAACTTGTGAATCACCCCCTCCCCAAACAGATATTGCCTTTGAAGAACCCTCCTATCAAGGGAAGGATTAATTTTTTTTAAAAGGTGCTAATCAAAATCAAATTTAAAAAGTCATTTGTTTTCCTCCCCTCCCTAAATATCTTTTCTTCGTTTTTTAGAATCTTAAGGAGTTTTCTTGAAAGTGAAGAAACAAAAGGATTCTGAGTCCAAAACTGATTTCCCAGAAAATGTTACACAAATACACCTGCTTTTGCAGTTTTATTTCTAGTGTGGCTCCTTGTTGATTTAAAGGACATGTTTGCAAAATAAGTGTTTCCTATTTATATTCCTTTTTTTTCTCTAGTGGAAATAGAGCATTTCCTTTCTTAAGGAAATAAAGCAAAAAGTCAGTTAATTCTCTTAATAAGGTTTTCCCCTTTCTACCACATTTTTAATTCAGCAGAATCTTTGTTTCTAACTCCCCCAGAGTTGACTCCATCTCTTTTTGGTAACAAATGGGAGAGGATTAAAACCACAAATTGTCAGGCACATAAACCCCGTGATGATGACTTCACATAATTACCTACCTCTATGTATCACTTAATTTAATGCCAAGAACAATGCAGACAGTAGCTATCCCTAGTTTTCTTTCTATGTATGTTTCTAAGAATCAGTGTTTCATAAGTCTAGGCAAGATGTTGGGGTAATGTACAAGAGTCCCCAGAATCAAAATTTAAAAACCCATGTCCACTAATCACTCTAAGTTACCCAAGTCAAAAAAAGCCAAAGTTAATGTACCAATGAAGTTAATTAAGTTAGTGTTCTTATCATAATCATTGTCAACAAGGATTTTCTTCCCTTGGACATATTATTTCTATTAGGATGGTTTGGGACTGTCACAGATATAAGGACCTGAGATTCCTGCTCTTATGTAGACTATGAGCATTTAATTGATCTTGTACAGTCTACTTGCTTATTGTCATAATTATCCACATCCATAGAGTAGAATTTTGTGCCTGCATGGAACAGTATGCTCTGACATTCCTGTTAATGCACATATTCTTACCCAAGGGAAATGATTAAAAAACAAAACAGTAAAGCTTGGAATAGGAAATAGCTACTAGTGGTAAAGGCCATTGGCAGAACAGCACAGACAGGAAGGAATTCAGTGACTAAGAACCCCTAAAAATAATGAAGGTGAAGTCTAAAATTCATGCTAAAAATTTCAGCTATCTATTTCACCTTGCAGGGCATAGGCAATAGAACCTAGGTCAGAGAGGAGGAGGAGACAAATGAAGTTCTTCATGTCTTCAACAGCCATTCACTGGTTAACCCATAAAATGCTACCAATTCAAGAAGTGTAAGAACATCACAAGCATTTTCTAATGACAGTGGGAAACAAATGTACTACCAGTTTTCACACCATGCTTTCCTTTTGAACTTAAAGGCTTTTAACATTTCCATTACGGGCCAGTGAAGGGTATTTTACAGATGATTAAACATTTGCAAGAATGAGAAACAAATTGCCTAATCGGGGTATGGTGTTTACAAATGCATTCTCCAAGCCTCAATGTGCTCTGCAATATACGCAATCAGAAAATATCCTTAATAAATAGATTCACAAAACAAGTCTGCTATTATCACATGCCCCGAATAGAGATTCTATACTAAGGTCTCAATACTAAATCTCAAGACTGATTTGAGCCTGGGCTTGTGCTATTAAAGCTTGAATGGGGACCCAACAGGCGGGAGCTATCACCCAGGCAAAAGAAGCACAACAGATCAAGTCTTACCGTTCGTTTTCAGCGCCACAAGCTTCCTGACTTCTCGACACCAGTTGAGTTTCTTCTGGCTTTCCAGGGAAGCCTGGATGTTTTTGTCGATGAGGGCTTTGTGGATGATCTCCCGAAATTGAGGACAAAACTGGCAAGTTCTGAACATTTCCAGTGTGTATCGGTGCATGGTTTTAAAATGATGAATGATCCCATTAGTAGGTTTAAAAATATCTTCTGGAGTTCTCTCCCGTATCTTCACAGCTTTCCGCATATTGCTCAAATACAAAGCCTGAGGAAGGACTTGTTCAGCCATTGTGCTCTCCAACACCTGAAAAGGAAAGGAAAAAAAAGCCATTCCATTAGCCTAACTTCAATACGACTCCTATATAGCTGCCTGCAGGAAACCCCAGTGTTTGATCTTGTCATTACCCTGATCTGTAGGCAAAAGATCTTAGCACCTCTACTCCCGGGATACTAGCTGGCCCCAGAGATTAACTCACACTGGACTGTTTTAAGTTACATCACTTTAAAAGATTAGCCTAAACAGGAGAAGGAAGGCAGAGAGTGGGTACTGAGGAGGAGGGGAATAACCCGTGTTTTCAGTAACTTTTGTCAGGGAGCCAACCCTGCCTGTCAGCAACAGGTACTGCTCCTCAAAACCAACTTAAGCTCCCGTTTCATTCTGAGGCCACGCTGAACAGCGCTGGATTTGGGGAGTACCGGATGCCAGTTAAGGGCTCAACATAGCCCTGACAAGTCTGTAGCTCCTCCCCTCAGACCACCACCAGGCAATCCTACTCTTGGGCCAAATCTTGAGTTGTCACTCCCTCCCTATGCTGGAAGGACAGTAAAATACTTTATGAAAAATCTTGCAATTTTATGCTGTCACTTAGGCTGCTGGTGTTTCCTCTTTATCCCCAAAGAGAAGTATTTATAAAGTGTGTATTCATAAAGTTTATTCTAATGTTTATAAAGAGTTAAAACCGAATGTTTTCTAATCAATAAAAAAGCCCATTTCCACCAAGATACTCTGTAATTTTAAGAGCAGTCAGCATTCCTTCAGAACCTCCCAATCGGACTTCATATCAGAGTAAGAAACAGACTAACAATAGGCTAGGCATGGTGGCTCACGCCTTTAATCCTGGCACTTTGGGAGGTCTAGGTGGGAGGATCACTTGAGCTCATGAATTTGAGATTAGGCTGGGCAACATAGTGAGACCTAGATCTCTACGAAAACAAAAAATGAAAAACCACAAAATAATAATAGAACAATAAATTCTATACTTCTAAGAACAGATATTGGAGCTCAATCATTTTAACTCAACTGCCAATGAAATTTTATCATCACCCTCCAGGTACCAACACAGGGGCATGTCTGCCTGGCTTTTCACCGTGAAATCTTTAAGCATAATCAACTAGTAGAAGGAATGAAAGTCTAGAAGCAGACAAGGAAAGAAGTTTCCACCAGGAAGCCACTCTGGCAAATGAAGGAGGAAAGGCGGCAAAGACCAGCATCTACAACCCATGCCAACAGTGCAGGATGATGCAAATTAACATGATGTGGGATCTCTCCAGAATGGAACAGTGTAAAAAGCCAGCTCTGATTCATTAGCCCTTAGTAGGGTGTCTGGTCACAATTCCTAATTTCCAAGAAGATGAAGAAGTTTTCAGAGCACAAAGACATTCCCTAGGAAATTTCGCAGTGATTGTTAATTCCATTCCTGCAGCATCCTATTTGCCAGGGCAACTCTCCAGTTAATAAAAATGTTAAACCTATGGAAGAGGGAGGAGAAGAAATCTAGATTTTAGGGTAGCTACTCCTGCGTGGGTCTAGACTCTCTTAACACCATTAATAAGGTGGTCTAAATTCTTGTGGCCCACTCAAAGGGGAGAGGTTGGACTAGATGACCCATGGTTTCTCCTGAGGAGTTTTCTGGTGATAGTTTTAGATTAGGATTCTTAATCTGATTGCTGGGAAAGGCATAGTGGGAGTCATTCTCTGGATCAGATGGTGCTCTCTTTTGATGTCAGACGTCCTCTACAGGTGGAATTGGGCAAAACCATAGCAGGACAAAAATAACACATACACCTTTCCTTTGTGGCACAGCAAAAGTCTCTCTCACGATATCATCCATTCATCCATCCATCCATCCATCCATCCATCCACTCACTCGTCTATTCAGTTACCCATCTGTCCATCCATCCATCCATCCATCCATCCATCCATCCATCCACCCACCCACCCATCCACCCAACAAGCACTACCTGACCACTACTGAAGGCCAATCACCATGCTTGATGATGGGACTAAAAGTCAAAGATGACCTTATTCCCTTCCTTGAAATCACACTACCAACTTAGTCTGCAGCTAAGGCAATGGAGTTACAGGTACTGCTCAGATCCCACAGCCATTCAGGGGCAAAGTTTTGCCTAGGAGCCAGGTCTTTCAATACCTGCCCCTTGCAATCCCACAACACCAAACCTGTGGCTACAGTGCCTGCCACAATCAGATGGAAAGAGATGGGCAATAGAAGATTTTAAACAAATGAGGTGTTAATCTCTTTTTGCTTGTCTGACCCTTTTTTCTCTTCTGAATCTAAAGATTTTTCACCAAAGATCTAAAATAGTGAGAGCTGTAAACCATAGGCAAGACATGCAAATGTCAATATTGGATACCCCAGTGTGATCTCATTGGTAGGTTTAGCCTTGCACAGCCTGTAAAACTGCCTCCTTAGAAATCAAAACCCACTGTCCAAGTTTCCAGTTCTTGGATCTCTCTACACTTAAGATTAAAGAATAAATGTTTCAGATACATTATAAAGTGGCAAACAATGCAATATTACCCTTAACTTTTTTTTTTTTTCTTAACATTTGTTACCTCACTGTCTTATTTAAAGGTAATTTCTCAACTTTTGTCACTAGGATTCTACAGAACTTCTCCATTGCTCAAACTCTTCTCCCCCTTGTTTTATTTTTCCACTCTGGGCAGATATTTTTGTCTGCGTTGTGGAAATTGATGAATTATTTATCAACAAATACCTCATCCAAATTTGGGGATGTGCCTATCAAAAATAGTACTAAGAATTGAAAAAAAAAAAAATATCAAAGCAGCACCTTAAACAATGAGAATGAGGCATTCATTGGCTGCTCAATAATCCAGTACATTAAAGTTGCGGGTCCAGAAGCCCCTTTAATTAACAATGGTTCCGCCAAAATGCTGCCCTGAGACACTTGACCAGACTGGCTTTCCAAGGCAAGAAGATCTGAGGCGAGGAGAACTGAAAACAAAGTGGGTTCAAAAAGAGTTAAGCTCCTTCCTTACTTAATGCCACTGCTTTCCTGAGAGGCCAGGTGGCAGGATGTGGGACGACTCCGGCTGACAAAGACAGTCTAACCGTGGGGTAGGGGCTGGAGCAGGCGCCAGCGACCCACGTCTACATGCATACTTCTCTTACACTGCTGCAGCTGGAAAAGCTAGACCCCGCGCCAGGACCCCAGCCCTGTGCACGGACCCCTGAGCGTCTGGGAAGCTGTCTCTGGGACTGAAGCCCCCCACCTCCGCCGGGCTGGCGGCCACTGCAGTACCCTACTCCCCGTCGGGCTGGCCCTGCACAATTTGGGGAAAAGCCGCAGCGCTTCTGCAAGGTCTACGTGGCCAGGAGCATGCAACGCTTGGCTCCCAAAAAGACACGAAAGGAGCAAAGCATCAACGACCACCCGATCAGAGGGCCCGAGGGGCGCCTCTTCACCAGTCAGCTGCAGCTTAAGTTCCGTGCATTATCCGAAAGGAACAGCTGGCTGGAGGTATCCAGGGCTGTCACTCCAACCTCTGGAGCGGTGACCTCAACTCCCAGCACTTCAAAACCCAGACAGAAACAAACGTCCAACAAACTCCCACTCCAGGAGCGCTGCAAAACCAACGCCAGGTAGACGGTGCCAGCCCGGGGGTCGCTGCCCAACATGCACCCGCAGCCCTTGGCTGCGGTAAGCCAGAGGCAGACGGCACTGGGAGGCGCAGTGGTTACCTCTCCGGGCCCCGCGATCCTTTCGCAAAGTCCCAAGTCCGGGTCAAAGCAGGAGCGCCCAGCAGGCGGAGGTCGGGGCCGGGACCGGGCGGAGGCGACGCTCCATGGATGCCCGGGGTCGGGCTCGCTCGCTGGCAGGGTCGGCCGGGGGTGTGATCTCTCTTGGCGGCCGCTATCGCCGCTCCGCCCCCGCGGGCTCCAAGCTCGCTTGGCCCGCCACGAAGACTGCAGACTGCGCAGTCTGCTTTTCCCCGTTTCAGTTGTATGCGGGTCGTAGGCCGGGGATTTCCACGGTACTTTCCAAAGTCACGTGACTCTCTGGGTAGGGCTGCGAATTGCGTCCCGCCGGCCGCCAGAGGGCGCAGGGGGCGAGGGGCTTTCGCGGCCTCCGCCCGACCCGGCCTCCGGGCCCCGACCCACCCCCTTTCCCTGCCCCGCCCCGCTGCCTCGCCCCGCCCAGTCCCCGCGGGAGCAGGGAGAAACTCCGTCGCCCCGCCCCGGGGTGTCCCCGCGTGAGTCACCTGGGCATTTCGGAAGCTGGGGTCACGTCACATCCATGTGGAAATCGCGGTGATGGGAACTGGAAATGAAATAGGTTCTTTTTCGCAGTTGTTTTTCTGCAGAAAATCATCAACTGTGGAGAAGAAGAAGGGAAATAAGAAAAAAAGAAAACCCTAAAAACCACCCTGGCGTCCGGGCCCGCAGGCCTCGGGCTGGCTCTGAAAAGTTTGGGCTGTGCACGTGATGAGCGCGTAGGCGGGAGCCCCAGACAGGACCCGGGCGGGAATTTTGAGAAAAAGCAGCAGTGACAGCCTTTGGTCCCCATCTCCATTGTTCCTGCCAGCTCTGGACCCCAGGCTGCATGAGACGTAGGTCCCAGGGAACACCCGACCCCGTGGCCCCAATCTTAGGTAAACTTAGGAATCAGAACAACATTCACCCCTATGCCACCCTTGCTCCATTTCCCCTTCTCTATTTCTGCTCACCAAGCATCCAGCTGACATTGCATTCAAGCAGCATTTCAGCTTAGAAATCGCTTCTAGTCCATCGCCGTGCTTGCCATGTGTCTCCAAGGCTTTATTAGGTGTGTTTTTAGTTGTCCTGATTATCAGTTCACCCCAGGGTGCTGATGGCTGATAATACTGGCGCTCCCCTCCCCACCCCCATGCGTTGCATAGGGAGAGTGAGTCATGTGGAGATGGGTGCAGTCCCCTGGGCAGTGGGGGTGCAGGTCCTGTGCAGAGAGGAGGCTTAGGGTACTTTTACTGTCTTACTGCCCTCTAAGCAAGGGACCCTTTGGATCATTTACTAGATTGGCTAAACTAGAACCAATTGGAAATATTCTGTACTGTGGTCCCTTTAATTACATTTAAGAATACTCGTCAGGCCATATATCACAGGTTTTTAAGTATCCTCCTCTCGCCCGTAAGTACCTGCAGAGATGGGGATGCGAGCTGGGTGGAGGGTGGCACTGTTTTGGCAAAAAGAAGTTTAGAGCAGGCCGGGCGCGGTGGCTCACGCCTGTAATCCCAACACTTTGGGAGGCCGAGGCGAGCAGATCACGAAGTCGGGAGATCGAGACTATCCTGGCTAACACGGTGAAACCACGTCTCTACTAAAAAATAGAAAAAAAATAGCCAGGCGTGTTGACAGGCGCCTGTAGTCCCAACTACTCGGGAGGCTGAGGCAGGAGAATGGCGTAAACCCGGGAGGCAGAGCTTGCAGTGAGCCAAGATCGTGCCACTGCACTCCAGCCTGGGCGACCGAGCGAGAATCCGTCTAAAAAAAAAAAAAAAAAAAAATAGAAGTTTAGAGCAGGGTGGCAGGGTGTCACTAGTGGCCTCTCCGAAGACTGGTTCTGGTCTTAAAACCGATGGCTGGAATTTCTTCCGGTTCCAAACCTCTCGTTATTTGTCCTCTCTTCTTGTTCACAAATGTGCTATCAACATTCAAACAATGGATAGTCAGCTATCCATTGTAAATGGACCTTGCTGGAATTCAGGGCTAGCAGAAATGACAGGGTCTAAAATGACATTGATCAACTACTTGCTATATGCTTATATATGCTTTTTATATGAAGCTTAAAAAGCTTGAGACATTTGCGCAGTTTCCACAACCAAAAGGGGCAGAGTCACCTGTGGCATTAAGCCTGTGTTACTCCAAAGACCCTAGTGACCAGTCTTACTAGACCATTCCTCTCAGGAAAGATCCTGTGAGACAGGGACTCTTTTGGTGCCCTGTCTCCCAGCCTCCCAAAACAGAATGCAGCTTCAGAGGTAGAAGGGTCTTGGTTCCACCTTCAGGAAACCTCCTGGGCTTCATTTGAGCTGACAGAAGAAGATCGTGTATCTGAAAGACCCTGCCTGGAATGTTAGTCCTCACACCACTGTCCCGCTGGTGCACCTTTGTAAACAGAGTTGGCCTGCTCCCTCTCATCTCTGTCTGGCTCCATGGCTTCAATTCCTCCTGCAGCTTCCACTCCCCCTGTCTGGCTCATGTCTTGCTCTCTGGTGTGATGAGCTGGGAGTACAGTAAGGAGGAGTGGCAAGCCCGAGGGGCCATGTCCATACCTGCCACTGCCAACTGTCCTGATGTAAATGCTTTGTCATCTTGCCTGCCAGGATTTGTGACAAGGTGATAGCAGTCAGAGGCAGGAGTGGTCTGTAGCCCTCGATTTTGTTCAAACTCCACTTTCCATGATTCTACTACTGGGCTTGTGAATTGCCACTCCCACCACCAGGCAGTCTTTACTGTCCTTTCCACCTTCTAAATCAGCGCTGTGTTGGGCTGTACCCTTGGCTTTTCCCCTTCTATTATGTAACGCATTGATAAGACCAATGACAATTTTCTTGGCGAAACAAAAGGAAAGAATAGAAGAGAAAGAGAGAGTATAGATGGAATGACTTCTTATGGAAAAAAGGGAAATACAATTTGGGGAGATTTGTTGAATAAGTTGAAACCAAAGAGATATAGAATGCCGAAAAGCCTTGAAGGAGACTTTAATTTGAGCTATAGGCCTTGTCAAGATGGACAGAACTCTTTAAAGAAGAGAGTAATTATTAAAATCTAGTAGACACTTAAGAGAAAAAATATGTCTCCTTATTAGATGAAAAACGAATTCTGATTATGTGAAATATTTTTGGAGAGTTCCTAAGTTACGTGCCATTTTGACACCAATGCGGGGTTTATGGGTCATGAACTGTGTAAAATGAGCACACATGACCTCTTGTAATTAAACGGTTTCTGTGAGACTGTGCTTGCAGCCTGTATCCCTGTACCATGCAGTAAAAGAGATGTGCTTGCCAAGATGGGGGGAGCAGGAAGAACCTGATGAAAGAGAGCACTACCTGTGACAAGTAAGAGGCGACCCTGCTGAGCTCAAACATAGTTCATAAGCCTTTCTTAATCAAGAATCAGCAACAGTTTATTGGTTGTTGATTCTTTTTTTTTTTTTTTTTTGAGATGGAGTCTTGCTCTGTCGCCCAGGCTGGAGTGCAGTGGCGCGATCTCGGCTCACTGCAAGCTCCGCCTCCCGGGTTCACGCCATTCTCCTGCCTCAGTCTCCCGAGTAGCGGGGGTAACAGGTGCCCGCCACCACGCCCGGCTAATTTTTTGTATTTTTAGTAGAGACGTGGTTTCACCGTGTTAGCCAGGATGGTCTCGATCTCCTGACCTCGTGATCTGCCCGCCTCAGCCTCCCAAAGTGCTGGGATTACACACGTGAGCCCCTGGTTGTTGATTCTTAATTAGCATGCACCTGCAGTCCCAGCTACTCGGGAGGCTGAGAGGAAAGGGTCCTTTGAGTCCAGGAGTTTGAGTCTATCCTGGGCAACACAGTAAGACCCATGTCTCTAAAAATTAAAAAAAATAAAAAAGAAGAAATTGTATATTTTTAATAATCAGTGACACTCTCTTTCTGAGAGTGTACAGAATTCCAGGGCATGGCAGTCATGGGCCAAACTAAAATTGGACCTTTTGTGTCTTTTATACAATTGCCTCCACTCCTTTTCCCTGCACTATACTCTATTGGAAAGGCAGATCATACAAAACATACTGGGAAGCACCCTTAGATAACTATGGCAGCTTAGTTATTACAGGATAGCTTTGAATCATGGTTCAGATTTTCAAATTCTGCTTCAAACATTACTAAAGAGTGATGTTTGCACATTCAAGATCACTACAAAGGCTAGTTCTGAGAATAAAGAGCAGCTCTCTGTGGATTATAAGCGTGAGAACTGGGATAATGATGTCATAGATTTCATCATCTTACGAATGCCAAATTCTACTGAATGTTGCTTCTTATCTAGGGACCTCAGATCCTTTACAGGTGTTATCTGGACCGAATGGAGAAACCCAAGACCCACCATGGCGGAGGGACAACTGATGTCCTTAGTGACCCCAATGAGTCATAGTGCCAGGAACAAAGACCCTCCGCTGGGAGGGAGGCAGTTGGTGTAATGACAAGTACAGTTCCTTCTGTTCCACTTTGCCTGAAAGCATGGGATGCTGACATCTCAAACTTGTCCGAAAATCCACTATCCCTGTGAATTCTGTTTTATTTCCTGTCAACACTTGGCTGAAACACTTGGCAAAGTAATTTTTATTTTACATCATAAATATAAATATTCAATTCTTAGTTTCATTTCTGTTTCTGCGAATGCTGCTATTAATGACCAAATAGGATGACAGAAAGCCCAGAAATGAGTGTTACTAGGAACTAGCTAGAATGCAGTGTTGGTTTTAGCAATAAGCCATGTGTTTCTGAGATAAATTAGTTCTTGTTACTTGGAATAGTGCAAGCCATTGTGAAAATTTGCCTTGACATTCCCCTTTCTCTTCATTTGTCCCTCAATCCCTTCAATCTAGTTTGGGGTCTCTATAATCCTGCTCCTTTGGCTGTGAGCCATCTCCATAAAAAAGAAATTTTAAAGGCTTCCATTCTTTCGGAGACCTGTTTTCCGGGACTGGCTGGTAAGATAAATCATGCTCGTTTTTCAAACAGATTGCGATGTGTTACTGTGTTATATTTCTTGAAAAAAATGTTCTTACAGAACTTCCTAGAGCTTAACGGTGGAAATTCCAAGCACTTTAGCAGGCTGGAGAAAGAGCTGTGGTATTTCTATGATTCTTAGAGTCCATGTTTGTAAGACACACTATGGATTTAATAACAAGATTGGGAGGGGGACAACCTCATTGTATGAAATGTATACACGTTTCTTCCTTTACTCACTTAGCCTACGTTTGTTGATGCGATGACATTTCTTTTTCTTCTTCACTGTCACCATTCATGTTTGATTTGAAGGCTTCTTGGAGTTTTGTGATTCCTCTGAGCTGATTTTGATCTTTGACAATTGTGTACTGCAGTGCTCAGATAGGCTGTTTGCAGTAATCTGCCTCTTCTGGCCTTTTTCGTAATTTAGAATTGAC